GATTCTTGTTTGTTCTACTTTTGGAGTTGACCTATATCTCAAGTCCAATGGATTCCATGCATCTAGGTATCTTCAACGAGGCTCTTTCGCCCTACGATTGCTCATTCTCCGACTAATTACGAGTCTAACAGTCTGCATCATCTAAAAAGTTGGTTACAATCGGTGTGAGTGCATAAATCCACTCAAAGCTTTTTTCAAAATTGCATTTCTGAAGACGAGAGTCTGATAACGAGCCATTGCCTTCTTGCTATCATTAACTCGCGGTTAGGTTAGGTTAGGTTCAAAGGTTGTGACGATGCGAGTCACAGCGTGGGCGAAGACTTTTCTCGTGCTTCGTCATCGCTAGTGTTGCCGCCACATTGCAGTCAATGTGAAGTGACTGTGACTGCGCTGTGAGATTTTACACTTTTTCACACTTCACAGCCGCTCACAGTCGCCGTGAAGTGGCTTCACAGTGGCAGGAACGTCATCGCCGTCGCCGCCATTCCCTTTTAAATCCTAAAGAGTCCGATACCTGGTGAGAAACAGTGTTTTGCCGAGCTGACCCTGGTGCAGCGTCGCGCCAACCATACCTGAAATGGGAACCACGTCCATGCGCGATGTATCGCGACTCACTTCACAGCACTTCACAGCAGACTGTGATCACTGTGAAGCGTATCACAGTCCACCAAAATTCGCTTCACTGTCACTGCACTGCACTTTGCGGCAACACTAGTCATCGCAATCAGACCTTTTTGTTCGTCCCGCCTTCCCCGACACTTCCGTCGGGCCACGATATATCAATGGTGCACTATATTTATCTTATAAAAATTAGACATATTTGAATTTGGAATATTTGCTAATAAGATTGCACAGAGTGCGCCACGTTGAATGCAAAAACTGGGTCCAGCAATGTGCTCGCTGTTCTGGGTGATGACTATGGAACCGAGGACAACGCCGCAAACGATGAGCTGGCAAAATTGGCGTGACATGGTCATGCTTGAAACCAAAGCTACGATCTCCTTTTAAGGGCTTGTTCCTAACCTGGTTGCCATAGGGCCTTACTTTAATAACCTCTGCGCTGTGAGATACGTTGAGATTTATGACCAAATTATGTCCAGGCACCATAGACACTTGTGCGTGTACTTAATCTTGTTGTCGTTTATAACAAAGCGGTCTCTTTGTCCCCATTTACATAAGCGCCCATTGGCGCGCACGTGTCCATACATCTGCCTGGCTAGTCGTCAGTCATCGATAACGAATACGTTGCCTCTTCCTCCCACTACGCAGCCTACAACATGGACACCTCAAAGCCATCTACTCGCAGTGAAAATACCGTTGAAAAGACCTCTACTCTATGTTCGTTTCTTTCATGTTCCCTTCGAAAGGGTCGCGTCTGATGTTCGAGCCTAGTTGGCGATCCCACCGCCGATATATCCTTCGTTTCGTCTGATGGTGTTACCTTCAAGATTCACAGCAAATATTTGGGGGCTGTCAGTGAAGGGTTTGGTGCCCCAGAGTCCACCGTCATAGACTCGAAACCTATTGCTTTGGCTGAGGCCGCGGAAGTTCTGGAAGTTCTCTTTCAGTTCGTCCACCCTCCGTTTGAATTTCATCAATCGCACCAGCCATCAGTGAAAGATATGGAAATAAATTTATTCTTTGCAGTTGCAACAGCAGCCGAGAAATACGTGGTGTACGGCATTATGAACATGTGCGTAACGCGTATGCGCTAGTGAGTATCTTATTCAGTAATTTGTTGAACCAGCTGAAATTCACACTCTTTCAGTGAGCTTTATGAATCTCACCCTGTCGAAGTCTTGAATCATGCAGCGAATCACGGTTATGATGATCTCGCAGACATCGCTGCTGCTGAGACTATCTCGCTTCCTAATCCTCTTGAAGAAACACTGGCAGGTTTGACAGATCCAAAAGTGGCGGTGCGATGGGTATGTACATACAATTTCCAAATATCACGTTCACGTTCTCCAGAGTAAATCTTTCTGATCTTCCTCTAGACGAAATATTATGGACATTGGCTTCAGATACTCAAATTCACAAACAATCTTCTGCAAAACACCAACAATAAGAATTGTTTGGGACTCTTCAATCTAATTGGCGACCTTTTGCGCCATTTGACAGTCAATCCCACAAACATCAAAATGCCAGCCTGGAGAAGCGCGTGTGGAAGTGCCTTGTGCGATTGTCAGCAAGGAAAATGGGGTGAAATAATCAAAGCTGAAGTCGAAGCCATTCCAAAGTTTACCGAAGTAACGTAGTGGGATACTATGTAATAATATAGCTAGCGAATGTTGTCAACACCCCTTCTACGGTTTGCACAAATCCTTCAATCAGAGCTCCCGTACACCGACTGTCGTTGTATCTATTAGCGACTAGAGCAGGAACTGATGAAATCTGACTAAGTCATTATTTTTAGAATACATGAAAAATATCGACAGGTGCCATCAATTATGCAAACGGCTCTAATGGATTCCTTGACCAATTGATTTTGGCCACAATAAAGAGCCCTGTACTGCCTATTAGTCGAAGTCCTAAGTAATCTACTGCTAAGCTGCACAGATTACATATAGTGAGAGGGATTAATTTGGAAAGAGAAATTATATAAAATTCATGATCTAATGCCAATTTTGTCCAGGTTTTCATCCCGGGTCAGTTTTGGAGCCTTCAGGTTGAAATTCGTCTCGAACTGCTGAGATTGAAGGGTCAAATCAATGAACCAATCCCGTACAAGGTCAGACCCACTCAGACTTACGCTTGGGCTCGTCACAGACATGCGCCGGAGGATAACCGAAGACCCAAATGGTGTGGGGAACGATATCTAGAGAATTGTGTATTCTGAATATTACGTCGCATAAGCCGTACATAATGGGCTCACCGAAATATGAGGCGGTGGGCTTTCAAATCGTATCACCGAGCTATGGCCTTTTGATCGACCTGTAGTCTCGAGGTGTATTATATTCATTTTGGGACGCGATGTTAGCCTGTAAGTGATGTCGTCAGCCACACCTGATGGACTACAAGGAATCACTCACACAACGAGGAGTGAATTTGAATAAACTGTCCGAACATGGGTCAGCAGACGCAGGTTATGGGAATGGAATTTGAGAGTACACACATTTCGCTAGAATGATATATATTCCGAACCAGATCACTTCCAGGTGCGTACAAATATAAGATATCAGTCCGATAGGTTTTGGATTATATTATTCAGAAAGAAGCGTACAATTCGGCATCGTTTGAAACTAGGCATTCATAGTATCAGCAAATCGAGGATATGGCGGACAAGGTGAACAAATGAACGTACTAGGATGATGGTCGCGACTGACGCTAGGCTACCGCAAGAACGTCAAAACGAGCGCTTGATGCGAATATCAAACCAACCTCGTCAGCAGCCCTGTTTCTACTCTGCTTCAGTACTTAATGCATGGAGCATGACTTCGTCGTTGAATATATAAGCTTACGAAGAGACCATCGCACCAGGCGATTGATAACCCGTGTCGTCCTAGAGAAAAACCTGATAAGAAGAGCGTAAAAGAAACCTGAATCGGGTAAGGGACGCACGACTTATAATTGGCCGGAGACCCAAGCCTCCTCAAATATACTGTCATCGTTGCGGCGATCAACACGTCCGCCGCACCCCCGACAGCGAGCGCTGATGTGACTAGCCAGGCAAGGCGTTCGACGAACACAACACCGTTCGGGTTGTTTGGGACGTCCATGAAGCTTTCGACTGTGAGCGCTAGTCCACCAATGAAGCGTAGGAAAGATAGAGTCAAGCATGTGGCCGTTACGAGAAAGTTCTCTGAAAGTCTGAAGATGCGATAACAGAAAAAACACTGGAATTTAGGTTCAGTTTGACGGGAGAGAGGCTAGGCTTTTGATAGGCACATATACCTGAACTATAACTGTTATGAGGGTTTCAAGTAACACGGTGGTGCAGAGGGGGTACGAGTTGGGTTGGCTGGTGATGAAGTGTGTAACGGTGTCGAAGTATATCGTTTGTGAGGCCGTGAAGGAGTGTGAGGCTTCTAAGAACCTAAAAAATCAACGATCCGCTGGAGGCCATGCACGGAATATGCAGAACCTACAAAATGATACCGACCTGCGTTCATAGAAAACACAATTTCTGAGCTGGTTTAAGGAATAGAATCATTTGTAAGATACTCACCAGAAACTTCATTCCCATCCCATCTGACTCACTCCATGTCCGAAAGTATGCATAACCTTGCGAGAGAGATATCCCGAAAAGAATAAGGGCAATGAAGGTGGAAACCTCTACGGCACCCAATACTGCATCGGTTTGCACGATAAAAGGATTTGTGGGCATTTCGAAAAGTGCTGAATGGTTTTTCATCGTACGTTGTATGAATTTCTGCACGATTTGGTGAGCCTGATGGCGAAATATGCATTGGGGACTCACTTCAGCGAGAGGCAGGTGTGGTTCAGTGTCTGAAAACAGCGGTTCTTTCTTATACGTGGCTTTGTGGGGGATCTATTTGTGTTCATAAGCGACGACCCCAGTCTGACATGCTGTGGATGTTGCAACAAGCGACCGACATGGCATGAAGGATATGAGGGGGAGTGGCGCTCATCATATCTAAAGATAGCATGACGAGACGATATGCGTAGGGGATCCGCTGGTGCAGATCGTTCACAAACCTTCAGTAGTCAATACTTACGTAGATGCACGCTCAAATAGTTCAAGAACGATTGAATAGTCGATGAAAGTAAAATTTCACTGCGGGTGCAGAGCTTTTAATGAATGATAGCCGATGAACAATCGCTCACTAGTACTCTTCGCGTGTCTAGTGATAATAATGTCTTGTCTGCAAGAAGGGAGGTGATTTGGACTCGGTGGCGACAATCATCATAGCGAGGTTCTCATCAACAACTGATACGATGGATTCTAACTTAGTGATCAAGATGCTGGGAACTGCAAAAACCGAGGCACTGAACGGCTATCACCGACGACGACATGAAAAATAAGAATAAGAACAAATCGACACCAGCAAGATTTGAACTTGCGCCCTCAAAGAGGAACAGCTTAGGCAGGACCAAATCCTGATTCGAAACTGTCGCCGTAACCACTTGGCTATAGTGCCTATGCTTTAAAAGCATTGTTATATATATATCAATATAACTGTCTCACTCGCACTGTACGTATTGCCGAACGACTGTTACATACGTCCAACTTACGTCTTGTACCCTGCATTTTCGCAAGATGGGCAGAGCATTCCCAGGCATCTGTTTACCATGTCTGCTCGAGCTGCATACAGCGGAACCCAACGAAAGCTGGTACTCGCCCTCGATGTAGGCACTACATTCAGCGGTATATCCTACTGGTGCGTTCTTATACCATTGTGTGGGTGGTATTCACAACTAGCCCTCTAGTATTCTCGATCCGGGACAAGTACCAGAAATCAAAGGAGTAACCAGGTCTGATCGCTGAGATACGGTTAGGAGAGGTGCTCGTATTCATAATATACCTGCGCAGGTTTCCCGCCCACGAGCAAGTCAATGGCGCTTCGAAGATTCCGACCATCATTTACTATGATCGTAGCGGAAAAGTACAGGCCGTGGGGGCTGAAGCAATGGTGGAAGGTATCTATGAGCAGGCAGAGGAGGAACACTGGATCAAAGCAGAGTGGTGCGCGTTTGGTATCGACTGATATCTCCATTGTGGACAATTCACAATGATCTATAGGTTCAAATTGCATCTGAGGTCAACGATTGCCCCAGGAGCGGGGAAGGAAGTCAGCGACGATATCCCACCGCTGCCTCTAAACAAAAGTGTCGTCGAAGTTCTGGCCGACTTTCTGGCTTACCTCTTTAAATGTGCGGAGAGCTATATTCAAGATGCCCACCTCAATGGAGTGAACCTATGGACGTCTGTTAAGGAACAGATTGACTTCGTTTTATCACATCCCAACGGCTGGGAGGGAACACAACAGTCGGAGATGCGCAAAGCTACTGTCCTTGCGGGCCTTATTCCAGATACCACACGCGGGCGCAGGCGGCTTTCATTCGTGACGGAAGGCGAAGCCAGCTTGCACTTCGCTATCCAGCATGGATTGCAAGGGGAGGCGGTGGAAGTGAGTGTATATTCTTGGTGTTACATGTATCGAAGATTTCATATATCATCGCAGAACGGTAACGGCGTGGTGATCGTCGATGCCGGAGGAGGCACAATCGACATCAGTTCATACAGCAAGAATACTTCGTCTAAGCAAACATTCGAAGAAATAGCCGTTCCCCAATGTTTGTTTTGCATCACGTTGAATCCTCTTATCGTCGATTAGTTTTTGATATCAGATCAGGTCACTTCTATGGCTCCATATTTGTTAGCGTATACGCACATCGTTTTCTCTCAAGTAGGTCGTTTTCTGCTTATATGCACCTCTTTCTGATCTAATTACATCGTCCAGACTACCTCGCCGACTCTCCCTTCGTCGACGATGTGAAGCATATTGTCCGCTGCTTCGACAAGACAACTAAATTGAAGTTTCGGAATGTCGACAGTCCTCAATACGTCAAATTCGGCTCAACGAGAGATAACGACGCTTCGCATAGCATTCGCTTCGGGCAGCTTAAGCTTCTAGGGTTAGTTTTCTCTTTAACAATAGCATGACAGCCATAGAGTCATGGACTATGGACAGAGCCGACATTGCGCCATTTTTTGAGCCTTCAGTCAACTGTATCATCAAAGCGGTTCTAGAACAAAGGAAAAACGCACATAAGCCCATCTCTGTGAGCACTTCTTCCACTGTTGTCACACGATTACATTTTTCTGAATGGAATTTGTTGTAGCACGTCGTTTTGGTTGGCGGCTTCGCTTCTAGTGACTACTTGCTCGACAGAATCCACTCTGCGCTAGGTACAGAGAATCTGAGCATTCACCGCCCCGACACCCATGTGTTCGTAGAGCTTCTTCGCTCTGAGTTTTTTTTTTTTACCGTAGCTCATTTGTGTTCTCCCTACAGGAATAAAGCAGTATCCGATGGTGCCATCTCTTTCTATCTTGACCATGTCGTGCGGACGAGAATATCAAAGATCACATATGGAACGTTCTATTCGATGCTCTACAACCCTAATGAGCCAGACCACAAACTGCGCCGTAAGAAAGCGTATACCTCGGAATCGGGTGATAAGGTCGTGCCAGACTCTTTTGACATCATTCTTCCAAAGGTAAGCTTGACTACTTTTGATCTCCGTTTGATAAAGTCGAAAGTGCAATTCCGTCTGCAGAATACCCAGATCTCGGAGGCGAAGGAGTTCAGACAACGATATGTATACGAGTGTGCCTCGTCGGCTGTCTCAGATTCGAGCCATCTCAATGACGATATATGGTGCTACCGCGGGCATATAACTGAGCCGAAATGGAAGGATGTCGACACGAGTGGGTGTTTACCTTTCGTTCGATTAATTTGGTGTCAAATAATGTCTGTGCGCATAGAGAATTATAGAAAACTATGCAAAATTGATACCAAGCTCTCGAATCTGCCGATGAAGAAGACACAAAAGACCAAGGGATCGGGAGTGTATTATATAGTGAAGTATGATATCATCCTGATATTTGGTTTGACGGAGCTCAAGGCGCAGATCGCCTGGAAGGAGAAGGTCAGTGTAATTCTATCCCAGGCATCTAAGGACGTGCGCTCTGACCAGTGATGTATTTTGTGATCAGGGTGTCGAAAAAAGGTATGTTAAATTTGCATAATTGAACTTGGTGGTTATTCATGTTGTTTGCTAGGAGTGAGGCAAAAATTATATACGAACCAGATACTCCCGACGGCGGAAACTAATATCCAAAGGCTGTTTCGCAAATCTCAATGCGAACTCAGAGAGTTGTAATTTTAAAAGGGCATAAATCAGAGTATATCTTGCCAAATAATGCCGAGATATTAATAAATTGCTACATAGTCGTCTTTTTACAGAACTTTCTCTGAAAGTTAATTGCTCGAACTTCCAACGATGATACTGTAGATGTGCGCTAGTTTTTGGCGTCAGTTTTATTAGCGCCGAATTTGGCGCTGTAAGGTACAAATGAAGACACACATGGGCTGACTTCGTCTCGACCCATTAATCATGTCACTCTGGCTCTCACATTCACCAACACTCCCAGTATGGCGTCTCGGTCTCCATACAATGGGCAGCGCAGAAAACTCGTCCTTGCCTTTGATGTTGGAACAACGTATAGTGGAATATCCTATAGGTGCGTCTTCCTTTAACACTGCGGGCATGGGGGGTTTCAAACTAATACATAGACGCGTTTGCATCGCCTATCTAGTGTGCTCGATCCAGGGCGGGTTCCGGAAATCAAAGGAGTAACAAGGTTCTTTAAAAATCAACAATTCGACGCGTCGTTGTTGACGAGGATCGCACAGATTTCCTGCGCATGAACATGTCAGTGGTTCATCAAAGATACCAACCATCATCTACTATGATCGGAGCGGAAATGTCAAGGCTGTCGGAGCGGAGACGGTAACAGAAGAGATATGTGCACAAGCTGAAGATGAGCAATGGGTTAAAGCCGAATGGTGCATGTTATTATAATCGATGGGCATTGATACGAATATCGAGAACGCTAAACACTACTAGGTTCAAACTTCATCTACGATCAAAGGGAGGTCCTAAATTGGCGAAAGAAATTACGAAGAATATTCCGCCACTGCCGCTTAACAAGACTGTCGTCGAGGTCTTTGCGGATTTTCTCTTCTACCTCTTCAAGTGTGCATCGAATTACATACAGGATGCACATCCTAATGGCGTGGACTTATGGGCGTCTGTTAAAGGCGAAATTTACTTCGTACTATCACATCCAAATGGATGGGGAGGCGCCCAACAGGCCGACATGCGCAGAGCCGCTGTTACTGCTGGCCTAATACCGAACACTACTGCAGGACATGCTCGACTTTCGTTCGTAACAGAGGGCGAGGCAAGTCTGCACTTTGCTGTTCAGAATGGGCTGGCGACTAGCGGTATGAAGGTATTTCTTTTTTCACTTCCCCGATGCTTAAGCTTATGGTGTTCTTTTTTTTCTGTATAGAACGGCGAGGGGGTGGTGATCGTTGACGCCGGAGGAGGTACAATTGACATCAGCTCCTACAGCGCCAAGAAATCCGCTTCCATGCAGACATTCGATGAAGTAGCCATTCCTCAATGTTCGTGAGCGGCAATCTTTTCTACTATTCTAAATAACTCATATGTTGTTACAGGTCACTTTCATGGGTCCGTATTCGTTAGCCTCTATGCTCATCGATTCCTTTCAAGTCCGTATATCTCCTTTATCCAATACACCGCTTTTAAACTCGGTTTCTTCAGGTTATCTCTCCGATTCCTCTTACATAGCAGATATCGACAATATTATTGAACGTTTTGATAAGACTACAAAATTGAGATTCAGAAATGCTGATACACCGCAATATATCAAATTCGGGTCTACTAGAGACAACGATGCTGGACATAATATTCGATTTGGACAGCTTAAAATTTTAGGGTAAGCCACCGCCTCCTCGAACCTGACTTATCTTATCCGGACTTCAAGTATAGAACGGATATTGCCCAATTTTTCAAACCGTCCATCGACTGCATCATTGAAGCTGTAAAGACTCAAAGGCTAATTGGGCATCGCGTTATTAGGGTGAGTGCAACGGTCTGATCTTAGGAACGTCTGGAACCGACAAGTGACGTGCGCAAGCATGTCGTTCTAGTAGGTGGCTTCGCTGCCAGCGAATATCTTCTCGCTCGAGTTCTCGCTGCTTTAAAACCTTACGGCTTAAAAATTTATCGCCCTGAAAACCATGTGTTCGTAGCGTCGTTTCTTGATTCACTCAGATTATGTCTGTATGTATTAACTTGCATTGCTGCCCATTTCATCGACAGAAATAAAGCTGTAGCAGACGGGGCGGTTTCTTTCTATCTTGATCGCTACGTACGGAGCAGGATCTCCAAACTCACATACGGTGTACGATCTTCCGTTCCATATAACCCAATGGATTGGGAGCACCGTAAGCGTGATGCTGATACCTTCAGAAGAATGTGGAATGGATGGAAATATGTTGGCGGTGTATTTGACACAATTCTTCCCAAGGTATGTCACGTA